ACTCTCGGTAATGTCACACGCGGCGAAAAGGAGCCCCGTGACACCCCCAAGGACAAGTACGGCCGACCACTTGCTGATCAAGACGACGACGGCGAGGTGGTCACAGATGGCAGCGCTGGCTCCAGCAAGGTCAAGGACAATCAAAATTTTGTCAACTTCCTCAACGTATCTTCGCTCTGCAACTTGGCGAAAGTGTTCAAGGAAAAGGAGTCTGGCGATTGGACAGCTCATGGTGATCCTACCGAGTGCGCTATCCAGACCTGGGCGTGCCGCTTCGGCTGGGCTCGTCAAGGTCTGACGAATACGCAAAAGTCGGACGATGGAGCAAACGATGAGACTGCAGAAGTGCCAGATGACGAAAAAAAGGAGGCTGTCAAGGAGCAGAACAGAGATGTTCCCTGGAAGCAAATATCCGAGTATCCCTTCGACAGTTCCCTTAAGCGCATGGCGGTCACATTTCACCACAACAAGACTGGCGACAACTTTGCCTTTATGAAGGGCGCTGTAGAGCGCGTCTTGGATGCCTGCACTCACGCTCAAATGGCAGACGGAAGGACCGAGCTGACGGACGAGATTCAAGAACAAACTCTTGCCAATATGGAGTCGCTCGCAGCCCAAGGCCTTCGGGTGCTCGCGCTCGCTCAACGACCGCTGGAGAAAAGCGAAGCAAGCCAAGGTGCGGATCTCGAGCGTGACCAGGTCGAAAAGAACATGACCTTCCTGGGACTCGTCGGTCTTTACGATCCTCCCCGCCCCGAATCGGCACCGGCTGTCAAGCTCTGCAAGACTGCTGGAATCGTCGTCCGCATGGCAACTGGCGATCACCCTGGAACAGCAAAGGCAATCGCAATCGACATTGGCATCGTGCCCAAGCACACGCAAAACTACTCGAAGCGTCAGCTTGACTGCATGGTCATGACTGCTTCGCAGTTTGACAAGCTCTCGGACGAGCAGATTGACGATCTTCCCGACCTGCCACTCGTCGTCGCTAGATGCTCGCCGCAGACCAAGGTGCGACTCATCAATGCACTGCACAGACGAGGACGCTACTGTGCCATGACTGGTGACGGAGTCAACGACTCTCCCTCGCTCAAAATTGCAGACGTCGGGATCGCTATGGGCCAAGCAGGATCTGACGTCGCCAAG